CAGCAGCACGGCAGTCTAACAATGAGCTGGCACCCCACAAGGCCTGACTGGTGTGTAGGGTTCATCCTGCTCTCAGAACAAACACCTTTATTGCAGACGTTTATTTGGGATCCAGTTGGGTGCTGGTGCTGGCATTAGGAAAGCAGTGATTAATCGAAGGGTTATTACGTATTCTCAGTGCTCCTAAAACATAAGAGCAGAAACAAATATGCTTAAAAGTATAAATTGGTCACAGTGGCATGGTGTGAGATTCATACTAATGCGTATCCAAAATGAATGCAAGACTCAATGATACATCCTGTCATAGATCTTCCTGTGTCTTTGGTTTCATCTAAACAATGCATCTTGGTGTCTGTGCATTTGAGAAGAACTCGTCCACTCCAGATGATAAATTTGAGTTAAACCAACTGTGACTAAGTGATAATTAAAATGGTCAAATTAAAAAACACCTCTCATTTCTAGTTCCATCTGTGTCCATACTAATAGCCACTTCGGCTTTGCTGACTCCAGGACAAAACATTCCCAGATTTTTCCTGGAGACTTTAACAAATGACAAGTATCAGAGCCATTTTCTTTTTGATCACCCCTCTTCTGCACATAGGAGAATGTTGCAAATTTTATGTGGTGCTTATTTTTCCTCACAAATAATCCATTTACTTTTTGTGCACCCGAAGCAAACCCTTTGCAATTAGGGTGCGATTTCTCAGATTTCAGATGATGAAAAACATTTTATCACAATTATGTAGATGTATTATGATTAGCATTGCATCTGACAGACAGACAGTCCCACAGTGTGAATGGACAGTGCTTGTATTGGCAGAGACCAAATTACCTAAAAAAAAAACAAATTGCGTTATGTGACGAAATGGTTTATCATCATTCTGTTGTAGTTTAATTAGTATTTGACCACACAATAAAATCAACACTATTTTGGTATGAAGAGGCAACACTGTTCAGCATGCAAACAAGTCATGACTGAAATGACTAACATAATCGCAGTTTCAGCCTCATGTGGCTTTGACATTCAGTACAGTTCCCAAGTCATTTGTCAGCCGAGCTCTCGCCACATGGGAAACATTAACATTATTTATTACCTGAGCTGTGACTTAACTCCACTTCCTCCCCCACACACACATCATGTAGACACCATAGTCCAAGCGATTAATATCTTAGAAGATCTTTTCCTTGACTGGTTTTATACTGTACCTATAGCACACACTATTTTAATATCCTGATCAGGACATGCAGTCATGCATACATTATGCTCTGGATGAGATTACAGAAGAATGCTGATTTTCTGATGTGAATGCCCTTGTCAGGTTGTAACTAGGGGCCGTGTGATCTACAGAGTTTATCTGGTGTTTTAATAAAAGCATGGTTAACCTCATAACCCAGCAGGAAAATAACCATCCATTAATTACACAAGCTCCACATGCAGGTGATGAACATCTCTTCAGATGGTTTCCAAGTAACATCCAGTTATTTAACACCAGGTTTTTTTTTTTAGAACGGACATTTTGCATCCAATTGATGTGACTGCTGGATTGGAGGGAATGGCAGACGTTTCTGCTTCCCCACTCTTAAATAATGTGCCATTGTGAGAACACTTTGTTGTGCAAAGGATTGTGGGAGTGTAGAAAAAGCTTCCCAGCTACTGTATGTTGTTGAAACTGATACTCTGGCTTCTTTAAAAAAATTGCTTGGATCTATTAACTACTAACTACCAAATGGGTTGGACTGGCCTAATGGCCTCTCATTTGTAATCTTTGTCCTGTTCTTATGCCATATGCAACACGCAGCAGAGAAATTATTACTAGAAATGAAACCAGGATGGATCACTGGTCAGGTCTCTGGATTCATTAACTGGAGGGTTGTGGGTTCAGATCCTGGGTAGGATTTCATGCTGCTGTGTCCTTGGTCGAGCTGCTGCTCTCAGATTGCAGAAGTAAAACATCCATAGGTGTAAAATAAGTTCCTGTGGATCAAATGTTCATCATAATATTTGCATGAGGTTGGCTATTTGCGCTTTAGGCAGATGTGTGAGCTCACGGGTAGATTAAGGGTACATCATAAAAATAAAAATACATGATATTTTAAAAGAGGAAGATACCGATGGTTCTGCAACACCCGTACAATAGTTGTATTTTCACTGGCAGGCATTAAGCACTAACAGGGTTTGTTCTCCTGCCCAAGAAGCAGAGCTGAACAGTGAGATGACAGCAGCCACAACAGGCCCCTCAGAGTTTCCTGGAACAGTGTATCAGGACTCTTCCTAAATGCATTTACAGTACATTCAACTTTTAAATACACCTTCTGCATTTATGGCTATGACGATAGGCCTCGGAATCTATTAGCCTGGATTGATATGGGAACATTACACAGATATCATGTTGAATTAATAAACTGACAGGAAATCTGCTGATCTGGTTATTTTTCCTTTGCCTGTGAAACAGAGAGGAGATAAGAGTATTCATATCCAATGTGCTATTTTATTTTTCTTTCCGTTATCAATAAATACATGAGTAAGAGAGGCAGGGTTGAATTACTTCTCCAAAGAACACTATGGAAAGGTGTTGTTAAATCATTGCAGGTCATCGCAATTTAATTTCCTTCAGCCCTGAGCTTAGTGACACAGATTTGCAAAGCAATGTGAGAATATGACACTTGAGGTCGGAAGTATTTTTTTTCATAATCCGGCATTTGTTCTGGTTCACAATTTGCCATTTAAAATGTAAAAAAATGCAACCGTATGTAGGATTACTAACCCAGGGGACAGCTGGAAGAGTTGCTGAGGCTTTTAAAGCAACAAGTACAGAGTACCTATTTTTTTTAAAACTATATCACACCATTTTGTTGTACGGCATATGAATGTATCTTATGTTCACAATTTATCAGACATAAGGAACAAGTATATAAAGTACATGTGAATATTTACATGTTTTCTCAGGGTGTAAGGGCCACAGATGCATTTGCAGTACGTCATGAAAATAAACTGCTCATTTCGGAGTGTGCATTTCAATGCATTGAAAAAGGCCCTGATGGATTCTTTAAGCACATACTGTAGATAAAACCAACCAGGGTTGCACAGGCTGACACTGGAAGTCCAGATATTTGGTAGATTGTAGACTGAAAATGGGCACATCTTAGAGATTGAAAAGGGGTACCAATGACCTTCTGTCATGCTTGACAGTGCCCTTTTCCCATAATGACACCCTGCATCCTCTGTTCACAACACCTCTCTATGGCGCCACAGACAGTTATGATGTTCTTGCTTTGTTTTGTCTTCTCTGCTGAAAGGCATGCTTTGTTATAAAAGGTCAGGGAAGAGGAGGGGAGAATAAAAAAAAATCTCTTGGCAAGAAGCTGTTAAAGTTTTTTTTTCACTGTTTCGTCTCAACTGAACAATGCAGTATATAGAATTATGTTTCCCTCTCAATCCTATAGTTTTGCCACTTGAATAGACCTGGGAGTAGAGGTTTAGATAAACCTTAAAGAAAGGCATCCCCATAAAACATCTCCTTTTGTCTCCCTGATGCACGAAAGGGCAAGTCCAGTCCAAGATGGCCAAGTTTTCTCTGGTCTTTATCACCAAAGTGAGCTAAGTATTTGTCCAAGATGGAAAATCACTTCATTTGTTTGTTTTAGGCAGCTGCTTATTGAAATGTTACAGCAAAAAGGGCACGATTTTGTCCTTGGAGGACTTCTCTGCGGCTGCCTCACTGACTACTTTGTGATTCTCGGTTGACACTAGAGGGCAGCACAGTGGTGCAGTAGTTAGTATTGCTGCCCCGCAGCACTAGGGCCCTGGGTTCAATCTGTGAGGTGCTAACTGGGTGAAGCTCCAGTGTTCATGTGGGTTTCCACTCACGGTCCAAAGACATGCTGGTAGGTCAATTGGCTTCTGGGAAAACTGGCCCTGGTATTAGCGTGTGTGTGCTTGATGGACTGGCATCCCATCCAGGGTGTGTCCTGCCTTGTGCCCGTTGCTTGCTGGGATAGCCTCTGGCTTCCCTGCAACCCTGAACTGCATGAAGCAGTTCGAAACTTTTGTATTGCACAGAAAAATGATGCAAACACTCCACACAAGATAAAAAGTTTACAATATGTCTCCACCTCATGGCAATGACAAGGAAGAGCTCATTAAGGTGTGTGTATGTCATAGCTCTGTGCGCTTTAAATTGTACTCTAGGAAACAAACTGAATTTTTTGTAACTTTTTCACTAATGCACTTCTCACAGAAGCCGTCGAAGCTGGGGTTTCCCAGCAGAAAAAAACTGTTTCAGACAATGAACAGGACTGAGATGTCATAGATGACATGTCTGCATACTGTAGTTTAAGGTGATGATCAAATCTCAGTCAGTGCACCATAAAGATCACCGAGTTTCTGCTGAATCCAATACTGCTGTTAAAAAGGTAATAAAAATTACTGAATAAAACTGGAATGCATTAGTAGTGATATATAAGTTTCAGTATAAGTGTTCAATCAGTGCAATTCCTTTTTGGCAAAAAAAAAAAATCCTTTGTGTCAAACTCAGTTCCTACAGGGCCTGGAGAATTCCAGGTTTTCCTCCACCTGAGCCCTTTCTCCAAGGCTAGTTCAATCTTCAGTTTAATATGTCAGCAGTCCAGATTGTGGGCATTATTTAATTTTATCAGGTAACATCAACAGCTCAGACTCCTGTAGCTATACTGATTGGTATATTAGCATGGTGGCAAGGCCTAGTGTGGTATTATAAGGCTGTAGACGTAACATGGTTATCTCCTACTTCAAGATAATGTCTCTATTAACATCCTTTCTCTTGGCAGTTTTAAGGAGGAGTATAGAGTTTTCTGCAAGCACTTTCCCCACTCAGACTATTGTACTGGCTTCTGAAATACTCTTATTCCCACAATGCTGCGGTGCTTTAATGTACTCACTCCAGTCAGTCCCCTCTGCACCAGTTAGCAATAAACTAGAGGCATTGGCATTACAAAGAGTTCAAAAACATGAGAAACAGCTATTTAAGCAGAGGACTTTATTTACAAAAAACGTTCTCTAACAAAAATGAGAAACGAGGTATGCATGAAGTCAATGAGGTTATGCTATACAGAAGCAAAGTGTACAATGCTTTCCAGTATATATACAGATTTTATACAGAGTTTCATTTTAAAGTGCCTTATGGTGGTTGCTACATTCGTAATCACTCACATACCATGATGACTCTCAGGTTCAACTTACTTCTGGTACTTTTTATAACAGTGATTGCAGTATCCTTCACATCTGCTGTTGCCGAAGTTCGGACAGCTTCTGTGCCTGCAGGGCCTTCTGTCCAGTGCAGCAGCAGCCTGGGCTTTGCCTGATGGACCAGAGGGACCTTCTCTCATCTCCCCACAGGCCGACTCCTGCAGCCTTTCATGTAGGGGCTCTTGTTTAGCCAGAGCCAGCGTCTGGGAATGAAAGCATGAGAAAAGTTACAAGTGAGACCATACCATGCATCCAGCTCATTGTGCGGATGACGGGATCCTGATCTGCAGATCTTGCCCTGCTGTCACCTGAAAGAGACCAGCTTTAACAACTGAGCAGCCTCTTCCGGACTCCTGCAGCCACTGTTCTGTGCAGCTCTCCAAAGCTTCCATGTGTCCCCTTGTTCATGTTTCACGTTTGACTCTGAAAACGTTCCACTGGGTCTTCAGTGCCTTTTGGGATTCTGAACACTCGAAGGGTCTTGATGTCTCCTCCGATCAGGACTAAAAAGGTTTAGGTCTTGTAGCCTGTTAGATGACGATGTTCCTTTAAACCTGTGAATACTCAGCCAGTCTTCTATGGAGTGACTCCAGAGCAGCAGTGTCATTTTTGGTAGGTGGTGACTAAAACTGTACACAATGTTCTAGTGCCCTACAGAATAATAACATAATATTCCTCCACTGACAATCTACATATTTAATTAATAATAATAATAATTGCTTACACTTATATAGCGCTTTTCTGGACACTCCACTCAAAGCGCTTTACAGGTAATGGGGACTCCCCTCCAGCACCACCAATGTGCAGCCCCACCTGGATGATGCAACAGCAGCCATAGTGCACCAGAACGCTCACCACACATCAGCTATCAGTGGGGAGGAGAGCAGAGTGATGAAGCCAATTCATAGATGGGGATTATTAGGAGGCCATGATTGGTTACACCCCTACTCTTTTTGAGAAACACCTTGGGATTTTTAATGACCACAGGGAGTCAGGACCTCGGTTTTACGTCTCATCCAAAGGATGGCGCCTGTTTACAGTATAAACTATACTGGGGCATTAGGACCCACGTGGACCGCAGGGTGAGCGCCCCCTGCTGTCTCCACTAACACCGCTTTCAGCAACAACCTTAGTTTTTCCCAGGAGGTCTCCCATCCAGGTACTGACCAGGCTCACACCTGCTGAGCTTCAGGAGTTTTAGGGTGATATGGCTGCTGGCCATTAACAATGTATCCTAATCCTAACAATCTGTCTTTATTACTTTCCTACTGTATATTACACAAAAAATATATCAACATAAACTCCTTCTCATATCAGTATGTAGTTCTTTAAACCCAGTGTTTCCCGTTTTCTATTTAGTTGATTTCTTTGCCATGTGCATGGAGCACAGTGGGACCTGTCGACTGTATATTAATGCCAATAGCCACGTTTAATGAATGTTGTTTATTAGCAATTCTTTTGCTGCCAGAACAGTGTTTGTTAATTCCCCTGCTTTATCTTGTTGAACTTGACTAGTTTCATCACTACACCAGAATACAGATCATGGATATAAATTAGGAAGAGCAGTGCTAATTCTAACCCAATACCCTCAACTCATACCCTGTGGTGCTACACTAATTAAATCAGCCCATTTGGAGCTATCAGCCTTTATCTTATCACAGTATTTACATTAACCAATTCTCGGTTAAAACAGATGTACTATCTTGGATGCTTGTGAATTTCAATTCAAGAATGATTATTTTATGAGGAATATGATCAAAAACAGACTGAAAAGCCAAATATACAATTGCACATACTGTGTTTGTATTCACTGCTACAGCAACTTGTTCAAAACACTCTTACGTTAGTTAAACAAGTCCTGTCTTTTCTAAATCTATCTGGAATCTTATTGCCACACAGATTATCCTTTAGTTTGATCCTAGTATCAGTCTTGATACATTTTCAGAGGAATAGAATTCAATAGTTCACTTCTGTTTTGTCTCCTTTTTTGTGGATGAGCGCTATATCGGCAATTTTACAGTTAAAATGGATTAGTTCTGTCTTTATACACACTATTTTCATTACAAATGAAAACACTCAGGGAAAAAAAAATATTCAATAACGTTTGCCAGTTACGGGCATTTTAAGTCAATGGAACAAGTAATAGGTTTACTCCATACTGATATAAAAAGAGAAAAGCAAACAACGTTTTGGGCGTGGAGCCCTCTTCAGGTGTGAATACAGCCAATTTTAATTCAAAGGGCGGTACTGAACATCTTGTAATTACATACTCCACCACCAGGTGTCACCCAAGAACAAGACCAACTGTTGTGTACTCGCCCACCTCTCCTTCCATTCATCCAGTCCTCAGTTTAAACGTGCTGTATATTAATTCACCTTACAACATATTTATGAGGGGACTTCACAATTTTATCCATTTTCCTGATGATGATTTAAAAAAATGTGAAGTGCACATAATAATTATAGAACAGAGTGATGAAACCATTTCAGAGACAGAGATTATCAGGAGGCCAGGAGGAAATTTGGCCAGAACAATGGGGTAACACCCCTACTCTTTTCAGAAACGCCCTGGGACTTTTAATGACCATAGAGAGTCAGGACCTTGGTTTCATGTCTCATCCAAAGGACGACGCCTGTTTACAGTCTAGTGTCCCCGTCCCTATACTGGGGCATTAGGACCCACACTACTGCGCCCCCTGCTGGCCTCTCTAATATCTCTTCCAGCAACAGCCTTAGCTTTCCCAGGAGGTCTCCCATCCGGGTACTGGCACGTGTTGCACGGTGATCTAGCTGCTGGCTTAATGGCAGTGACGGTGATAAAATAAATCCCATTTACCCCAGAGGTTCCCCAAAAACTTAGATATCAGAGGGGACCCACTTCATTCACCACAGAAGTGCAGTACCCACCTGGGTAATGTGTGACAGCCGTGATTTACCAGGAGCCATAGTGAAGCGCGCCACCTACTGGTCCACCAGCACCATCTCCGAGTGTGTCATTATAACACTCTGCCCTTTGCCCCCCGGGCTCGTCTCACCTGTCTGGACTGCGCTGCCCGTCTGCTGTGGGTCAGGAAGCACTTCTCACAGAAGCCGTCGAAGCTGGGGTTTCCCAGCATGCCGCAGCCGGCTGCGCGGCACTTGGGCATGTTCCTGAGGGTGGAGGCGATCTGAGGCGGCTGGCCAGCCGGGGCCTGCTGTCTGTCGGCCTCGCAGCCCGGGGGCTCCGGAAGGGGAAGGCCTCAGTGAAAGAGAGAGAAAGGAGAACACAGCATTACCCAGGCAGCCGACGCAGGCACGGGCTCTGCCGGCGCCTTGTTTTAAAAAGCCGGGGGGTTGGGAGATGCCGTGAACGGGATACGGCTGGAGGAGGGGAGGCGCGCGCGCGCGCGGGCGGCCGGAGCCCCACTTACCCCGGCTGCAGTAGCAGACGGTGCAGTAGCCGGAGTGCTGCTCAGTCCCGAAGTACACGCACCCGGGCGTAATGCATCGCTCTCCGGGCGGCTGCTGGCCCCGAGAGCCCGCGCCCTGCCACCCCGGCGCCAGCGCCTGCGCCAGGCGGGCCTCCCGGGGCTCCGCCGCCTGCGCCTTCCTCTGCAGGCAGTCGAAGCACAGCCCGTTGAACGTCCGCGTCTCCCTCTTGCAAGCGATGCACCGCCCGCACAGCAGGTCCACGGGCCCGGCCGCCGCCGGGTCCTTCTGGGCTCCGGGGCGCCGGGCCTCCCTCGCCTCGCCCCCCTCCGTGCGCGGGTGCGGGCACGCCCCCGTCTTCGGCTCGAGGGCGTCGAGCCGTGCCGCTGCCTGGCCAAGATGGCCGGCGTTGCTCCTGTGCTGCTGGCTCTTGGGGTCCGGGGCAGGGGTGTGTCCCGAGGGGGCGGACGCCGGCCCCGCGGGCAGCTGCACTTTCGAGGGTCTGTCTCCGTAAAATGAGCTGCCTGAGCTGTATTCCCTTGTCTCCTGCTTCCCAGCCCTGTGTCGAGGATGAGGGGCCATGGAGGGTGTGTCTTTGCAGTTTGAGAGCTCACTGCACTCATGGCAGAACGGCCAGGTGAGCTTGGAGGCAAAGTAGAGGCAGTGCTCTGTGATGCACTTGTCTCTGGTGATGGAGAAACTCGGAGAAGTGGATCTGTTCCCCTGCTCCCTGCCGCCGGCCTGCGCGCCTTCTGCTCCCTGGCTCAGCTGGCCGCACACGTAATTCACCAACCTAAAATAGTCCTGGACCAAGTTGAGGTTTTCTGGCAGGTTATTACCTTTCAACCTGCAAAAACAGCAACGAACAAAAAGTGTTTTTAGCATTTCAATACGACAACTTCCTGTCAGGTAAGACGGTGTAATGTTAAGAGAGGAGAACTTCAGGACAGCGAAGTCCTTTTAAAACGATAGGTTTAGGCAGACCTCCCTTGAAATCCGTTTCCCTTGCACAACAAACCTGCACTTTATTGGACTCCATTATACGAGACCTTTGGTGTCATGTTTTGGTCATTTACCACAAGAAAGATATTCTAGCTCCAGAGGCATTATTGAGGAGAGTAATCCTACTAATTTTAGGTCAGAATGAAAACAGCATATTCCAACAGGCTAAGGAAACCTTCTGTAACAGAGATTTCATGGTGACAGGATTTAGGCATTCAAAATCCTGAAAGGCACTGATCCCATCAGCACTGGAGGCTCCTTCAGCACAGCACCAGGACCTCCTGCAGCTATTATGTTTTGTAGCTCAAGAGGCACGTCTTTTTTGCAGAGGAGTGTGGGAGTAAGGAGTAACTCCTGTGGTGAAAGCTGACTGTGTGGGTACCAATAAGAAATGGAGCTCTTAGAGCATTAAGCTACTAACAACCAAACTCACGAGGCTGGCCGAACGGCTTCCTTTTGTTTGGTCTTAATTAAATGAAAAACTTCATTCAAATAGAGGTTTTCAATTAATGGCATATTTCTAAAAACCTGTCAAATAAAGCCAGGGGAAATTAATACATAACCTTTCTCCAATCAATATTTATTTCTCCTACTAGTCTGACTAATTTGATTGAATGCCCATCTTTTTAACAAAAACAAGTGAAGACATTAATTATGTGAGTCCTACCAACTTCTCCCCTTCTTCCTCTTTCTTCAGACATACAGATGTAAATGATGAAAATGCATTTTACTGGTCTGCAGGGTTCAAGAATTTGTCACCCTGTATTATATAATCCACTACATCACAAGTCAACACAGACAAACCAAACACAGGGGGGGAAAGGAACAGAATCTCTTTAGTCCTGAGCCTACAGAGAAGGCTACAAAAAGAGTTGTCAAGTCCACCCAGAGCACTGCTCTGTTATCAATAGTGAAACCAGATCCCATGGGCAGTGCATGTAGGACTAAAAACAACAGATACCTATCTACTTTAGGGTTGTGGGTGTCTATAACTGCCTTTTGTAGAGTTCTTTGCTGAATGAAGCCTAATTTAGCTGCAAATACCCAGCTGAGTACGATGGACCTCTTCTCATGTCTCATCTTATTTTCCAACAGCAAAAGAAAACACTCTCACCTGGTCGCAGGGACAGTGCTCTTTCCAACAGAAACAGCTGTCAGCTGCAGGTAATTCTGAAGACATATTTGCTTCGTTGTCTCTTCACATTCAGGAAGAAAATGAACAGACATGTCTTTGGGGCCATTCTTGGTGTGCGTTACCAGAGGCAGGATCTCAGTTTCTGTGCAAAAACAATGCTGTATATTGTACAGTCCATTCCATATCAAATGACACACATTATTTAATGCCATTTCCATTTCTCACAAAGTCTACATCACACCACGTGAACATTCACTTGCAGTGCTGTGCACATTTCTGTCTCTTTTTATGTGCTAGGTTAACGATATTAATATTGGTTACTGTACATCCTATACCTGCTGTACTGTATATCTGTATGGACTTTGTACTACATGTGACAGACTGTATGCATAGTTCAATGGATGGAACGTCCATTTCCAAGTGTATTATTTTAAAGAATTAGGCAGATTTGCACATTTTGTACATGTGGCTTGAAGATGTGTTTGTGTTTGAATGTAATATGTGGTGTCGAACAGTCACTTGCTTGTCAGACATCTCTATCTTTGAGTCTTCGACCTGTGCAGCAGATCCATGGGAGAAACCTCTGGATGTAACCGTCTGTCATGTCCACGAGATGTCTGTGTTTCTTAAACGAGTTTATCTTACTAACTATCCTGGCACACAGCCAGTCCTCTTAGCCACAGCAGCTGGTATCGGCTCATCTGCGCTGCAGAACGGTGTGTTCTATGTTCAGTACACCTGCACCACAGCGCCTGCTTCACCAAAGGCAAAATTGTCAGGTAGGTCTGACAAGGTGTTTTGGATTTAAATGAGCTGGCTTCAGGGCATAACACTGAAAACTGACAAGCCTGCAAAACTGAAAATCACAGAAGCATTCTCACTATAATAAAGAGGTAGCATTCCTGAAGGCTCTTGTTTTTTCACACTATGTCTAATCCCTAATCAGCATGTACCACTGTCTGCTCACTGCAGTGACACCTCTACTAGAAAGATACATCTTTATTATAAGGGTACCTCTTACACTGTACTAAAGACAATTCGATTCTTAAGTTTTACAGTCCATTTTTATTCGCTCAGCGTTTTCCTCGTGTCGCAAAATGAGTCAAGTGAATCTATTTGTTTGTCATACCTCAGGTGTGAATTGATCAACTTTGCTGTTTTCCTGAGATAAATGTAGTCTAAAAATACTGTCTGAAGCCTTTTTCAGAATTAGCATGAAATCAGTGTGAAGGGCTGTGTTAATATCTACTATGGCAGGCAGTACTGCATGTGTTCCATACACCCCTTCCAAGCTGCGGCAGCTGGTAATCGTGATAACCCACGCTTAAAAGAAATAATTGCTCATTCAATTAGTGGCCATTGTAGCTGTTGATTATACAGTACATCACATTCTTGCTGTTGAAAATAATTTATTTGACCACAACTTGGCCTGTAGTTTGCAATGGTATTTGATTATACCTGTTAATTCTTGTCGTTCTAACATGTTTTTTGAAACAGTGGCTCAAGGTATATGTCTTTTAAGGCAGCAAGCTATTTCAGTACTATGAGAGTATTGCATCACCTCTCAGTGGGAGAGCAGTGGTCCCTATAACAAATTCTGTACACTACAGCCTTCAGCTGGAATTTCCCCTGTACAAACGTCACTTCTATTCTCTTAATGACAAAAGAGCTACAGACATGTTCCGTTCCTTTAAGAAATATTTTTGTCTTCATTTTTAATACCGTATTACGAAGCACCACAATAAAACCACAGATGCTTAATGGAAGCAATGACATCCTGAACAAAAAAAAAAATCATTTTGCAGTTAAAATTTTAAATGTCCTTTTTTCCCCCCCACTAGAATCAAGACAATGCCTTACATTTTAAATCTTGATGCAAAACATTCTTGTGCGGTCCTTAAAAATAAATTGCTCTTCTTTAACATTTGATTAGCACAAAAAAAATCAGAAGGTGCTAACAGATTAGGCTGTTCATTATTACATGCTGTACATTACTCTGATGTACAGTCAACTCCTTTTTATTGTATTGTGAACTGAGAGTGTACTTAAAAATGTGCTTATTCTGAGCTTTATATCAATCTCTGCAGTTCTGTTTAAGCAAGGTAAGAAAACAAATGACTCATTTGTTTGAATTCAAAAGTGTAGTTTTCTTAGCACTTGTTACTAATACCCCCAGGACTGCATTTCTGCCTACAGGTGTTTTGTAACATGGCTGGATCCAGTGGGTGCAGAACGCATTTTAATCAGCATCCTCCTGAAATTGGCCAGAGAGGAATCTAATTTTTTACCTTGCCCGGGAGCACTGAAGTCCACCAGTGGGGCAAAACAGCTGTATGGATACACACATCCCAGGACCACAGGAAAGTGGTAACACTTCTCCACATCCCACAGCAGAGGCAGATAAATCCCCGCAGGCCCTTGGACTGACTCGGACGTGTCAGGAGTCACTTCCTTTGTGTTGCCTGCGGGCGAAGTTTATGACAGCGAGACTACAGTCAGCGGAGGAGTTTGCCCACAAAAGCGCTCTCGGCATATTTACCCAAACCAAACAACAGGAGCTCACTCGATGTACAGTGTGTGAAAACCTGCCAAGGAGCTCTCACTGAGTCTGGGGAAGCTCCAGAGATGTGACGTTGCTTGATGTTGCGTTGGATTCTCACGCAAGAGTGAGGTCACAGTAGGGGCTTCCAGACTTGCCTGTATTCCTAAACAATGTCCACAGTCCAGGCTTTAGACTACACCTGTTCTTTTTTCCTTTTGTACACTGCAAGACAACAACACGCCTCAACAAAATGTCCTGGAAAATGATTCAAGGTGCTAATTTGAGAATCCCTGTGCGTCTGTCGGACTCTGTAGCCTTTGGGAGCTTGTTCTTCCTTTTTCCAGAAAAGGAGGAATGGTGTGACCTTTTCCTGGCAGAACGTCCCAGATCTGCTTTGCAAGCACAGGGCTGTGTACTCCCCTGCAAATGACATTAACTACACAGTTCAGATCGGGGCAACATTTGACTGATGTGTGATGTTTTCTTTTGATGTTGACTAAGGCCTATAGTAAATCACAGCATCGGCCCACTCACCAATCACAAATTCCAGAACAGGTGTCTGATAGCAGCTTGCCATTGTGTGGAAGCACCATGCCTCTGCCTTAGCGATGGGTGGATGAAAACTCTAGTTTGAAAGGCTAAGAGACAAGTTTAACTGCTACACCACAGGCTTGATTCACGTCCTCAGACAGGTGATTCTGCACTGAACTGAACTGCACTGATGTTGGACATTGCAGTGGGATCTGTTATTCTTTTTATAAATGGGTTAAAAAACATAATGAGAGTCTGAAATACTCACCACCCAACACTATGATTGGCCTCCGGATGACATTAGCCAAAACGAAAAGGTAGATGTCTAGGTACGAATTTGCCATAGGTGCCACACCTTCAGATTTGGGGTCCACCAATCTCACGATTCTCTCCCATTCTTCACTGCCCAGCTGACAGAGCAATTTGCGTTTTGGAAAGGGAAAAGGGGCAGAGTTCACCATCACAGAGTTCAGAAGACGCTTTAACATGTACAGCTTTCAAATTAACAGCTCCGCACACTTTGCAGATTATTTCAGGAGGAGAAAATTTCACCTACTTCACTTTTTTAAATAAGCTGATTCCACTCAGCTAACCTGACCCCATTAGCAATGCTTTGTCATTAAATACTCTACGCTGCAGGGCATTCTTTTCATCTCCTCTCTCGCTGTTGTAACTATGGAATACGTTAATATAGGGAATGCAACGTGGGGGACTCAAACATGGTTATGTATTATAATCTATCTTTATAAAAAGTTACAGGGTACAATATAAGAAACCAAGAAAGAAACTGTTAACATTGGACAACTGAATACACAGCAGGTTGCATTTCATCCAGGTTTTTCACTTGTGGGTGACACACTGTGCATTAATCACATATTTTCAGAGCTACACTCTGCCAGGTTTTCCATGTTACTGCACATGCAGACCGGAAGCTAACCTGGCAGAGAGCTGGGCTGTTAAACTGGGAATTTGGTTTATGGTAAGATAAACAGGAATTACAGTATGCTTAAACAATTGGCAATTCTTTCCAACCAAGAAACAATGCAGACATTTTCCAACAAGAAATGCATTATTTCTAGCTTAGGGGATTTACTCTCAGAGATACACTAAGGCCAAGCCTTCTTTGTACTGAGTATTAGCCTGTGAAACTGTCCCTTCCCCTGCTGATAAATGGAACTAGGGGTAAGACCGTGCATTACTATAAAAGGAAGTTCTGAACACAGCATGTCATTTTTCTATGTAGCTGTATTGTGCTAGTCTGGTTGTTATTTTATTTTTTATTTTTTTGCACTTGCATGCTATCACATCGATTTTTCCCTTTGAATTTATTCTCAGTGTAAACTAAAACAGCCATGCACTGTGAATAGAAGAAAATAAATCAGAAGAATAAAAGAAGTTGCTGTATAACATTAATGCTAATACCAAGAATTAAGACCCAACACAGAGCAATTATCTCGAAACCTCAATCTGGCTTTTTGGCACTCTGAAGGATTTGGATTATAAGAACCGCATTGTCTTTGTGAGCAAAGAAAGTCTTTACATTTATGATGTTTTTTCTTCGTCTTAAGGCGCACTAAAGAACATTTATGGGTCTGTGGATAATGGTGGTGCACAGGGCAGTTGTGGTGTCCGGGCACACAAAGCTGAGCTTACCGCTGCGTGAGAGGCGACGCGCTGGTCGCTAGATCCTCCGGGTCTCCCAGTCCGGTGTGCGGCTATGTTCAGCTCAGCGGGGCTACTTTCGTCCATAGTGTTATAGAGAGCGGTTCTCAGCACCAAGTCACTGTCGCGTACCCCCCACATGTACAGGGAGACAGCATCCAGAAGGCTGTTGTTTTCCCCTGTTCGTGTTAAAAGCGTCTCTCGTCATTATTTAAAGGGCGGAGGAATCCCTGCTGTTATCTCAGGTGAATTTACGGGAAACATATACTTTATCAGTGTACGGCATCCCCTTGAGAGACGAGCAGCCTAAACTTCACGACGAGCTCTGAAACTTACTTGCACGTATGGGGCAAAAATGTAACTGGGGGCAGCCTAATGCCTCCGGATTCCATTAACCATCAGATACACCGTGTCATGCAAGAGTTTGGGGTTATTTTTTTTTTATAATCTGATTTCATTTTTACGAACACAACGATTCAAAGCATATGTGCAACATAGTAAAAAAAAACTATTAGATACCATTGAAGCCGATATGTTAGAAGTAAAAACGTATCGAGAAAACTAAGATGTGCGTGTTAAAATGTTTTTTTACATAATGTTTGAGTGGCGTAAACGACAATAATAAACTAAACAACTAGAGTAGTTCAAGTAGGTGGCTGTGTCAGCATACGTAGGCTGCAAAGGAACAAGTAAAGGTTTATTCCCTGCTGAAGAGAGAAGAAAAGGAACACGTTTCGGCTGTGGAGCCTTCTTCTTCTTCACTTGTTACTTGTCCCTAAACATCTAGAGTTGATTTTTCATTTAAAACATTTTTTCGTTAAACAGTAAGCATTCAGTGTTTGGGATTTACAATATATATATATTTGTATCCCCACTTCGGAATCGGAAAGGTTAGGAATATTCCATACCGACTCGTCCTCCCCAGCACCGACCAAAGCATTAAAACTAAACGAGGCTGTTCAAGCGAGGTTACAAGCTGGGCAACGTTAAAAACGCCGCTCCCGTTCATGAGAAAAGCGCACCGATGCCGGGCAGCCGATGAAGCGCTTCCCACTCTTTGAAACAGAATCAAATATGAGAAGGTTGGTCTTACCGCTGTTCCTCAGAGGCGAGAGGGTGCTCGCTTGCTCGCACCCGCTGTCTGCCAGGTGTCTCCTGAGCTGCAGATCAAACAGCGACTCGCTGACGATCTCCGCGATTCGCGGCCTGGACGCGCTGCAGTCGCTCAGGTGCACGCTGTAAGGGTGTAGTGTGTCGAGGTGATGGACCGCAGGCTTGGATCTCCTCTGCCTCCTCAGATCTGCGGCGATGTTTTGCCTCAGAAAGAGCGCTTTGGTCAGGTTGCTGTCTTCAAGAGACTGGGGGAGCCGTTTTCTTTCCGCCATGTCCTACAGAATGCTACAATATATAAATAGCCGTTAAACCGATGTTATTTATGTGTGTTCACATTGCATGTGTTTCTTTCGCTTCTGTGAAATACACAAAGGCACTGAAAGCCGATGCAGCATGTATCCTTCAGAAGAACACCTTTTATTGAATTCGAACCGTCCAAGAAAATTAATTTTTGAAAGTTTAAGTAGCAGTCTTAAAACTACGATGTAGAACTAAAATGTCTGATATCTCGCGGTTCTGAATAATATTGATACAGACAGCAATCTATCCACTGTTAATGCTACTCTTTCTGGAACTACGGGTCTGAATCACAGAGAAGCAAGATGTTAGGCGCGCTGTAGCCTTCAATATTAATACTGTAGCTCGCTGCACTGTCAAAACGCCACCATTCAAGCTGATTTACGATAAGACAAAGATGAAACAACTTTACACTTAATTATTATACGTGTTTTAAAATTACACTTTTATACTGTAGGCCACATAGAACACTATATTTTAATTGTTTATAGCGCAGGTACGACGCACAGCATTAAAATAACAGTATTAAAATACGTAAAATAACACCTTACGGCCAATTTAAAGCAGTTCAAAAGGGCTCCTCCTCAGACCGGTTTCCAGATTCAGTATAATGTCGCAAATGAGATTCAGATGATTGCCAAATAAAATTATTTCGTAATATTCACACGCACCACATCGTACCTGGAAATCGGCGACGGTATGGGTAAATCATATCTGATAATTTCCATTACCTTACATCTCGATCAGATGTGTTGGTTGTTTTTTTTTTTAAAAAAAAAAACCTCGGGCTTTTTTTTTTATTCTGTTAAAAATGTCTAATTCACTTAAGTTTGAGATTTCCGTCGTGACACCCGTGAAATGGGGGGGCAGAGATGTAAGCAGTGGGAGTAGCAAGAGGGGACTTTCCGAACTCTAAAAATAACACGCCGACTACTCAGCCCTCGATTTGCGCACGATGGGGCACCGCTCTCGGCGAGGGCAGAGGTATCTGCCGCACTGCCCCGCCCGGCAGCTGCTGCTGGTGTCGACCCAGGTTAACGAACTCCTGGTCACATCAGAATCAGAACCCCTGATCTCTCCGTCCGCCGCCGCCGGGTTCCCAAACCAGCGCCTGGAGAGTTAAAAAGCTCTCTTGTCACGGGTTTCGGACGCAACGGGTTGGGGGGGGGGTTTACAAAATTACGAACTCGGCGCCCATTCAGACGAGACGACGCCGGCTTGTGAGTTACCCGTTTCCAACAGCCCGGTCGCAGCGCGGAGGAGTCTTCTGCTGCGGTAGAAGGAGATGGGAAGACCCGTCCTGCTGCGTCTCCAACGCCTTAAAACGCACCTCGCAGAATCGTGCCCTGGTCTCTCCTGGGCTTCATTGCGGGCGGTCGTGTGGAGTGGTGCGGTGTCACATTTTGAAGGTTTTTTTTTTGTTTGTTTGTTTGTTTTTGGTTTGGTACAGCTTTAGCTGCCCCGAGCACGCGAAAGAGCTGTGCAGCGGGCGATAATATGCACGGTGTCCGCACTTTTACGACAGCTGCAGGCAAGACTTCCTGTACGATAGCGAAACCAGGGTTTGAAAACGGCAAAAGTCGTTACCTTATTTGAACAGCAAGATTGCTTTCAGGCACGCATTGTGGATGGTGCAGGCAGGCAGGTTTGTGATCCGTCAACAGACTACTTCCTCATACTGGCACAGATATTTCTGTTCCAGACGAGAGCTCTGGTCTCAGAAGGCGATGTAATTACCTGTGTCTGGACCTCAGGCGGCATTGGTAGTGCGCTGCGTAAATGCATCGAAGTCTACACAATATTTAATGTTTCTGCAGCCTCCTTTCTATATAGAGTTTTACATTTGTCACCATGGCCCTTGAGAGCAGAGTGCCGTGGTTCTGTAGACGTTGTGTAAAAGGTGCTATATTACACCGCGGTGGACAGGGGTGATCAGACGATCTCTAAATGGGATATGAACCTTAACGGTTCATTAAACCATCCAATGCAACACAGTTCGCCTCCCCGTTTAGCACAAGTCACGCCAGTAACTACTGTCGGATCCAAAACGTCCCAGATCTGTGTATAATTAAACCCACGATTTTTTTCTTCAAATTATAGCACGTTTCCAGGAGCGCACTGGGAGACGTTCTTGAACGGCGCCAAAGGGTTTTCCCTTTGAAATGCGCGACTGTGGATAAGGAAGAAGACGACGAGCTAGTTGACACGGCTGCTAAGTTGGGACGTGATGGTGTGATTTTCATAAATGCATTGACCTTCAGTTGGTTACGATTAATGTGTATATCTTAATACATGCAGTCATGCAGAAATGGAACTTTTCAGCGATTCCAGTTCAGTCTAGTTTCACCAGTCCTTTAAAATAAGGACCGTACGCAACGGCTGTCATGATCATCGCTATACCCGGGCTATGTTCGATGATGGCGTTTATGGTACTAAAAGTAATTTTATGATTTATGGTATTAAAGACGCCTTTGTAAAACGATTTAAAATTCATACTTATTTGAATTATTCTTACCTATGTTTTCGAAGCATATACTTTCCCCCCAAAAGGATTTTGTATTATCTCGCATGTCTGCTTTGTTTTATTTTTTTATTGTAGAATTTCCTTCATAGTGATCAATTTGAGATGATCGCTTTTAAAGGTAAATAGCTTGTTAACCATATTATGACAGTTAATTAGACGTTGCCTACAGTCTGAATGTGCGCCGAAGCATCGGCTGAAGCGATATTCAGTAATGCACAAGGTAATGATTTCAAACCATTTAGAAAGCACGCAGTTCTTGAAACAAGCCGCTGAAGTTCAGAATGACAGCCCTTTTGCTGCATGGTTAACAGCTTTTATATTGCGATTACAAGCAGCTCTACTACAGAACTTCGATCAGTTCTCCCTGTCTCTGTGTCATATACTGTAGCCAGCTGCCCTGACTAGCTTCATACCAACAGGTAGGGAGTTTCAATCTAGGTGACCACTTGCAGTTTGTGATGTGACTTGCACGGAATCTGCATTTCCAAGAAAAGGTGTCTCTCCGTGGTACCTTATGAATGAAGTAACCCAGGAGTCTACCTGTCACCCAGTCTGTGGTGGAGCATTTCAGTAACAAACCACAGGACAAGTTTCTTACTTTGATATTAGAATCATTTAATCAGCCAAAACACAGCTTTTCCAGGATGTGGTTTCAGTTACAATGCTGGTAAGGTGACAGCTGCTCATGCAGCATGTTCACTGTCTTCAAAATCACACCATCTATGCGAATCCACAGAAACTTTTTTTTAATTTTAAATTTGTTTTAACTAAACAAACTCAATAAATTGTGTCGCCGTTGTTATGACAAAACAGTGTATGCTCACAATTTATCAGTCACTAGCAACCAAGATGTTGATTTTGTTTTTAATGTAAAATGTAACAGATGTAATTTTAACAGGCCTACATTTTCCTATTGTTATATAAAAAATGTTTGTTTCCTTACTAAAATGCTCTTAAAATGTTCTAAATGTTCTGCTTCAACCCATCTAATGAAGAACAATTTCAGTGCAGAAACAGTATGATACTGTACATACGGGTGTCTCCTTCTTGAAGTAATTGAAAATAGCTTTACATTTTAAAGAATATCCCCCCAAAAAATACAAATAATACAATAAATAAAATATTACAAAAGCATAAACTGCACCAGGGCGGAAAATAGACTGTTCCAAGCCTATTAAAATAAATTTAACCTGACCCCCAAAAAACTAGTGTGGTTTTCGTGGATGAAAACTGCTGGCACTGATTCTTTGTACTTTGTGACAATCGTGGTAATTTTGAAATGTTTTTATTTAATTCTTTGTATTTAAATTCTTCATATTTAAAACAACAACAATAATAATAATTCATACTTAAAATGTGGTCTTTCCCCAAATCTTGAAATAAACAGTGATTACCTACATATTATTCACATCCATTCTTGGGATCTGTTGTTCACTTTTAATGAACGTGCTTAATCAACACTACACATTTTAGTATAGAGCACTCGGATGTGTTTATTGTATATAGAACTGCTAAACCTTGAAAATCAGAGGAATAATATTAAAATAAATCTGTTTACAACATAAAGGTTTTGCTCCAAACAGTCCTTAAAATTGTTTACCTTATCCCTGACAAATAAATGCCCTATTTTAGGCAGAGGTTTCGAGTGACCCAGCGTTATGGGTACTGAAACCCTGAGTTTTGTCTCGTTTCTGTAGCACACAAATTCAGGCCTTCTGTCTGTTCTACACAAGTAACACATTTGCAGTTTGTCATCTTATTACGTTTAAGTGACACAACTCTAAATTTCAGCAGGGACAGTTCAGTCCTAAATTAATTGCAATTAGGGTGTTTGGTTTGCTATTGTGAAAAAAAAATATTACTTGATTTTTTTTGATTGCATGAAACATTCTGTGTTATGAATTTTTAGTGAATCCTTACTGGATTTTGAAAATTATACAAGGGGTAGGGTTCTGGCATCCAAGATGGCAAGGTGTGAGCATTATGAAATTAATGCTTTAAATTACAGACAGCAACGGCTGGAGAAAACCCACCATACACCGACCAAGTGTGATTTTGTACAGAACCCAGAATACTAACATGCCTCTTCACAGACATAAAGTAATTGCCTCAATATGATTTTATGCAATCTGCAGTTTAGAAATCTATGTGAAAAATATACCCTTTCCGTTCAGTGAGAGCAAGCCAGGAAGAAGCAACGTTTAGTTCTAAAAAGAGTTATGCAAAACAAATGTGCATTAGTTGGAGGAGATCATTAAACTTCCCTTATTGTAAAGACCTAGATGTACTCTAACGTCAAACACGTTATTGTTTTTTTCCAGATAAGTTTATAACATCCCTCTTTTTGAGTGTGTTTGAATACAATTTTGACTGAAATAGTGCTATTGCACAAAGAAGATTTGGCAATAATGCCAATATCAAGATTATCCTCAGAAGAATATTTAATATAGTCCTGCTAATTTCTTTCTTATATTTATAAACAAATATATGTGATGCTATTAAACATGTCTATATTCACTAAACATTATGAATATTATCACTGCAATAAAAGCATTAACATACATACCAAGCTGCAATTACTGCTAGTAACTGACAGTAGCAATAGATGTCCAACTCTCTGAATTCACGGTACAATGCAAAAATAAGATGTATATGGTAATGTGCAATCTGTATTTACTGTTGCACAATCAGCACTTGTGTTACAACATCTAACTCAAGTGAAACTGCAAAATAATGTTTGGGGGCTCCTTTTAAAAAAATCTAAAAAGGATCATTGATAGAGCAAACATTTTTTTAATAAGAAACAACGCGATAAAAAGAAACATGGTTTTCTTTTTTTACCTTACAGTTGTGATTGGTTATGCTTCAGTGAGGCTACATGTTATCGGTGAATGGTGGCTGAGACCCAAATATCCCTTTTTTCGAAACCTGTTCACTGAAAGTCAGGCTACAGTGAGGAGACTTGACTACAGCCCTGGCGTAGCCCTTTTAAGAGCGACGGCTGGAATTCCCCCTGCTGTAGTCTGCGAAGCTCTTCCTCTCTGTGCATGTGACCTTATCTAGTGAGCGGGGATTTTCCTCTCTCGTCTTCTCTCTGTGAAGTGGCAGGGCTCCTTAACAGTGACCCACTTTTACACTTTACCTTTCTGCGGATACATGAAGGGTTGTTTTGTGATCGATTGCTCCTTGCATGCATGCACTTTTGCAAAGCACCACCGCAACAAGCTATTTATCCATTTTATCTGAAGTTTCTGGCTCCTCAAGCATAGCCAAAGTGGTAAGACAGAAGATTTTCCTGAGTCTGAATATAATAGAATATAATAGGTGGGAGAGTCGCAGAGAAACGGTTGAATCCCTTTCCCCTTTGTAGCTTTAGGCTCTAGGAACAAACACAATTCATAGCCCTGTCCAAAACCCAAGACAAAAGAGGCAGACTTGCACCCTGTCCCAATTTGCTGTGACAAGTTAGATACAGAAGGAAGGTTACAAAGTAGAAGAGGCTATCTTGCCCTTGCAGCTCATGTGGTTGCTAGTAGCTAAAAGCTCCGTGGATCTAATTGAGTTGGTTTGTGAAAGAAGCCAGGGTATCGGCTTCCACAACACGACAGTGTAACTGTGTCCTAGCCTCCCACAACCCTTTTTGTGAGAAAGTGCCTCCTGTTCTCTGTTTGAAATGTGCTTCCTCACAAGCTTCTACTTGTGTCCTGTGGTTTGTGTTTCACTATTGATTCTAAAGAAGTGCGATGGTCTGGCCATTCTGAATCCTTGAATCTGGCCCCCTCTTTGTTCAAGACTAAAACAGTTCTTGTCTGTTAGTGCCCCGGACAGTCCTTTCAACCTAGGACAGTAACAGGCTGCTCTTCTCTGGATTGGTTTCAGAGCCGCAGTATCTTGTTTGTAACATGGTGACTGAAACATGCGAACAAATTGTAAATAAGGGCTTACTACTGCACAGAGTTTTCCTATAGTGTAAATCTGACTGCAGTTCTAATCTGTTTCTTGCAATTTCTTACAGTACAGTGAATGATTTCTGCTAACCTTTTGCAACCTTTTTTC